AATCTAAATCTCCCTGCTTTCTATTCTGATAGCAGGATCTCTAAACCTTAACACTGCATCTTCAGCACCCAAGGAGAACAGCTATGCCACAACAGATGCTTATTCTCAGGTGACAGGCGTCCAGTTTTAAGTAGAGATCTTGTCATTCAACAGAAATCTATTGAAAGAATTATGTTGCCATCAAAATTATTTTGGACAGATCTGCATTTTCTAACAAAAAACCTGAATTTAAAAAGTCTTCTCTCCTCCTGCCCAGACCCTACTCAACTCAGAAGCAGCTCTGTTTCAGCAGCACATAATACGAGTCCATATACAGATATTTAACACACTAACACCATGTAAAAACATCGGCAGTCCTTCAAAATGAAGTGGAATGTCTCTCTCCCACTTAAAAGACTTGTTTTTAGACATATTTGAAATCGGAAAGAAAGTATCAAATAGTGAAGTCAGAGAATCACTTTGTTAAACATACTTGTAGCAGCTGTTCAATGTCTTGTTTTTCCAGGTAAGAACGAGTAACAACCCGTCCATCAAAGTCTACTTCTGCCTTGAATCTCACTTTGCTCATTCCCATGTCTGTGGCTTTAACATCATGAATTGCTCTGAAACACATAATTTTTAAAGAAAATGTAGAACAACATAAAACAAACAACACACTATTTTGACTTCTGTTAACAGTAGCATCACAGTAAAATGATCATGTAATTTTAAAAGGCTTTTGACTGACATACCCTCATTTTGCCACCACAGGCTTCCATCACATGCTGATTCATATTTAACCAGCCATACCACTTCCACAGGTATCTGCTACACCAACACAAGTATCCTGCATCTGTGAAAGACAGACTACAGGAAGCGCTGCAGATTTACAACTAGGCTGTATTAAAAAAAAAAACAGCCCACAACAGAAGTGAGAACTTGCCTATTCCGAGTCTAACTTTTAAGTTCAACTTATTTGCTAATGCATAGAAGTTTTGGGGCATATGCATACATAGATATGCAACTATTTAACAATTGTTTAAGTATCCTCAATTCTGAGGTAAAGAACAATAATCTGTTGCCAGTTACTGAAAGCACACACTGCATCTACAGAAGTGTCCTTTCCTAGATAACTAATTTGTAAAGACATGACCTTTTGGAGAATTTTCTATTCAAAGTTTGACATAAGTTATGGATATTTTGTTGGCAACTTGTTTTTGTTCATACTGAATTACTGATCGTGACTAATGACAATACAGCCCTTTGTAAATGCTGAAAATACGTATTTATTTAAAGGTTCCTAATAGATGCTAGAACATGAATGTTGCAATATGTTTGTATTTTGGACATCCAAAGACTTCTGGTTTTCTGTAATACAGTTTTGCTCCAGTTTGTTAGACACACTCCATGATGTATGAATACAGGTAATAAATTAAAAAAAAAAGCCCTCTTTTTCAGGGATAAGAAGATATCAAGCTAAGTTAGGACCTAGACATACACCAGTGATATAAATATAATTATTTTTTCTAGTCAGATCAACATAAACTTAGTTTATTTCTAAAGCTAAGCAGAATTTTAAATTGCTATTGCAGAATAAGTTTCCACATTCTTCCACCAAGGCCAGAAAAAAAAAAAAGTGATTACTAAAATCCAGGCCATAAATCTCAAAGAAGTTTCAATTTTTTTAAATTCTTTATCCTGACATTTCCAAAGCAAAACAGCAAAACAAGTACCTGAGGTCAACTATAAAATATTCCAATTACTTTGGTTTTATTAACAGAAAAAAATGCAATCTTTTAAATTCTAACAAAAGATTTAGATTCAGCAATAAAGCTTACTTGGTGGAAAGTACTACACTTTCCCCCTGCCCACCCCTCCCATTCATTTTACTAAGTTATGCAATTTCACAGCATCTTGAAAGTTATCATGTCCTTTGTCTTAGGCAAATTTACTCTTCCCAACTAGAAGAGTTTCTTCTCATCTGAATATTTATAAATTAAAACTAACTTCACAGGGGGTGCAGGAAGAAAGCAGAAGGCATATATTTTTGGAAGTGGGCTGGTAGGGAACAGCCTACAAAGAAGAGGAGGCAAAAATTTAAGACAGTCACAGGAAACATTTATGGAGTATTTCTTGTGATACTCAAAGTGGAGGAGGGGTAGTGTTAAGCACATTAAAAAAAGAATATGAACTAAATATAGAGACACCAAAAAATACATCTTAGTAAACATTTAAGCAGATTAGAACCATCAGCTTACTGGTAGCAAAAAAGAGTTTCCAGCTGCAATCAAATTTACACAGCTATTCCGTTGGAAGCTACCAAATCAAACAGTATTAACTGGAGTAACCTAACTGGCCTCAAACTATCTCCTCACACAAGAGGGTATTTAAGATAACGGATGTGGTTCAGTGAGGGTTATTGAAGAGTATCTGAAGCCATGTGATTCAAAAATATTGAAGATATATCAAGTGCCTATCAGAGCTAAGCGAGAAGATAACAAGAGATATTTGAGATTCTCATTAAGCAGTAACCTGATAAAATTCAGTGGAATGATGCATGTCCTGTAAATGTGAAGGTAAACAGTCTACCTTACTGCTTATAATCTGTCCAGGAAAGATAAGACAGTGAGTCAGGAGGAAAAAAATCACTAAGAAATCAAAAATACAAATGTGCATGCTAAATTTTAAGTTACAAAGCTTGTTTATGGAAGCTTCTGGATGACTAGTAGACATCATCAATTCAAACTAGGAAAAAGAGCAAGTTTCACATAGAAGAAAAGCTTGTCAGAGGACATCAAGTTATTATCAGTCATAATACTTTGTTGTTGTTGTTTTTCACCCCCAAACCAGAATGACATATTTTGCAGCACAACAGCAGTACAATTACCCAATAACTGTTACACTGAAGTAAAAATTAAAGCTGAAACTGTCACTAAGAATAGTACATGCTTACGAATCCATGATTTCATTCCATAAGAACAGAATCAGGACAGTCTGTACCACAACATCTATTTTATTTCACAGTTATGAAAGCTTAGTCTCCTACACTTCAGTTAAATTGAACACAAGAAGGATTCAGGCACCAAAGGTGTGAATGAAAGTCAAGAATGGAATGTTTGTGTAGCAAAACCAAAAATCAAATCAAATCATTTTCCAGCTGAGAACAACTCTGACCGAAAGCCCATTCTGGATCACAAATTAAATAAGGGCTACAACTCGAAATTACTGAGCAGGATGGAAAGGAAAGGGGAAATCAATAGCCATAAGCCTAAAAACAGAAATCGTAAAGTCCAGTAAACTGATAGGAGAAGCATTTAAAAAAAGGCATTGTCTGTGATACAAGGTAACATTCTTCAAGCATAGCAGAAACAAAGGATAACCTGGAAACAAGCCTACTACTAGATGGAAATGGTAAAATTGTTACTAATAATACAGAATAGTCAGAAACAAGCAATAAGTTTAGTTTTCTTGATCTAAAAAAGCACAACATTATATTAGCACAACATAGCATTTCTCTATTAGCAGGAGAGAAATGTACTGGACATTCAAAAGGGAAAAAAGAGTCTTGTAAATCAGCAGGCTCCATAACCTGCATTCAAGAGTAAAAAGAACTAAGAAAACTGTGAAGGCCAATTAATTTCTTATCCTGCAAAACTGATGAGAATTTAAAGAAGAAAAAGAAAAACAGAAGATTAACAGCACTGTGTCAAAATATAAGAACGGCAAATGAGGCAATCCATTTAACTTCACCTGACAACCCAAGGAAAAATAGTGGAAAAGATGGGGAAAAACATAATATAGTAAGAGTATTAATTCCAGTCATTAAGGTTTTAGGGAATGTAAGTCTTGTCAAATAATCCTGTAAAAAAATAATCAGGATTTAGTGAGAAAATGATCAACAACATAGATTATTTATTTTAGCAGTACAGCAGTTAGCCCTGTCTGATAAATCAAATTCTTTATAATTAGCAGCAGAACATGATGTTCAGGCAAGCTGCTGCTGGAACAGTAAGTTAAGTGGTTCTGGTGGTAATGGAGGGAGGGGAATCAGAACCTCTGGATCCTTTGATCAAATCAGATCTAAAATAATTTCTAATGAAAACTAAGTTACTCCCTAAGACAGCCCCTTCACATCTGGCAGAACACATTTGAAAATAAAGACTGCAAACCCTCCCTGAAAGAAGGGAAGGCTGTTCTGGGAAGCAGCAACCGCAAGATGACGACACTGAGAACTCTGGTACAGTCTGCCAGCTGAAGACCATGAAAGGTTGAAACAAAGCATTTGTCGCAGCTGTAGAAGCAGATCAGTACTCAGGAGCTTTTTCTTTTACATTGGGTGTCAGTAGGAAAAATGTAAGAGTAGGATATACTGCTATATAACCTCATTAAAGAAAATGAGTTTGAACAGTGAAGAAAATGCTGAAACTCTTACGAGCCCAAAGGCAGGTTGATGAAAACATACAAGTAGCCTTTGAAGAAATACCTGATGCTAAGAGACTTCCTCATTTCACAGTGAAACATTGAAAATAAACAAAAAAACCCCTAACTAACCAAAGGTAAGTTAGCTTCTACCCTTAAGAGAAACACACAGTTTCTTACTAAGTCTGTCCTTTTTTTTAGACTTTGTGGTTTTTTTAAACTTACTTTTTATTTTAAAAACCCTTTACAGCGAGAAGGAGATGAACTAAGCCTTCTCTGTTCAGGATTTATAGCCATATACAAAATGCAGTATAATACAAAATGATCCTTGAGATAGGGGCAATTTTATGATTCCAGCCTAGGACAAGTAAAAGAGCTACCTGTGCACTTTGGGAAAAAAGAACTACAGAAGTCATGTACAAACAATCCTGTGAACTCATCTAACACAGCACTATTGACACGTGCTTCACCATTCAGACTAATCCAGGGCCACCGCAAATACTTCTGAGTTTTGTTACTGCCACAAAAGTTCTAAACCAATCAAATTCCAAAACAGGAATCTTGTTTAGCTTCTGGAATGAAAGGATGTCTTTCAGACCTGTTGCTTACAACTGAGATGATGCAGCACACAGTTCACACTGGAATACTTGAAAGAAACTAATGGGTTTTTTTCACCACCTCTCCAGAGCCCAGTAATGACTACAAGCTAAAAAAGCTCTACAGCATTCCAGCTGATTTAGACAGAAATATAGCCCTGAATAAATACTAAGAACACAAAAAGGGTTTTGCTTCTAAATCAAGGTTAGTAGAGTTAAACTAAAATAGCTCCTCAAAAAGCATTTAAACAAGATTTCAGAACTACAATAGCTGTAAGTTCATTCGACTGCAAGTTGCAGATTTCCAAAGAGAGATAAATTCTCACTGAGTTAATTCTGGTAAACATCTAACATGCAGAATCTGTTATATCATAACTCTGCTGCAGCACTTCAGTGCCAACTGCTAAGAATTCCAGGCACTGAATATTAACAGTAACAGAATTTACAGAATTCAAGTGCTAATAAACCATAAAAGCAACATTACAGTATCATTTAAGTGCTTACATTTCATGCATTTGAAAATAGTTTTAAGTTTGTAATGGCTTATTCATTAAGTCATTGTCAACTGCTGTAATTAATGTAACTTAGAAAATATTTGCAATTTTATTTCAGCTGTGGAACATCTGGAGGTTAAGAGTATTCACTTATTAAACTTTTTAGCATAGAAACAGATGTTAGTAATAATTAAGATTCTAAAATCTCAATACAGAAGAATCCACCCTAAATATAATCCATCTCACCAGATTTCTCTCATTTATAATGCTTGAACGATTTTTTCCAAGTGTTACTTTCCTGCTTTTTCTCGTTCTTAGCAGAGATCGAGCTGTAAAGATTCTTACCTTACCACAGGATCACTTTCCAGTAGCTCGGTGAGGCGCTGCAGTTGTTCTGGCTGAATGGATCGTCCCAGCAGGGCTTCAGTGTTAGTGTAGATTAGAAATGCTGACACAGTTCCTAGCAAAGTTCCAACACCGAGAGATCCCACACTGTCGTAGTAAGGGTTTCCTAAATAAGACGTGTCAAGTCAGTGTCACAGAGCATTTCTAAAACACAGCAGACAATTCAGATTTCACACTGAAATGAGTACATACTTTGGGGGGTTGGGTTTTTTTTTCTGTTTTGCTTTTTGATGGAATGTTTGTTTGGGGTTGGGGGGGGAGGAGTTGATCTGTTTGTTGTTTAATGTGCTGGCAATTCTTTCCTACCAAGGAACAAAATGAAGCCAGAAGAAAGCAAGTTATTTTAAGATAAAATCTCAAGTCCCTCCTGACGCTCAGCCACTCCTCTCTCCTGCAGGACTAATAAATGAGCAATTCTCAGCTATTTGGGTTTCTGTGAATACATTTACCTTTATTAACATGAAATTACATACAACTAAACTCAGGTAGTAGCACAAAAGTCTGTGTTCTTTTACCAGTAACTCAAAAAACTTGGAAGTATTAACCATTTCTGGAATACACTACTTAATTCATGGAAGTTTTTGACACATTCATTCATACTCAGATTTGTAGAAACATTAATGTTTTTAACTTCATGATGGAAACTAGAGATGGAAAAAAACCCTGACCTCTATATAAAAAATTACATTTGCAGTTAACTCATTAGAAGCCACAGAGAAACAAAACTACCATCTTTATTTTTTGTAAACAACTGAAAAGCCAAAGCCAATACTTAAAAAGGTACAAATAATCCATCTTCCCTCCTTAGAAAAGGTAAGTGTGCAGCAAAGCCAGACTTGGAATCAGTTGCCATATAGATCATCCCACCTGTGCGAGTTAGGTTTGCCACACTGTTCAAGCTTGGCAAGAGCAGCTATTGTAATCTGAAGATAACACTAATACCACTACGTATCAAAAGGAAAGAACTGCTTCCTTAAATCCTCCCCACAGCATAGCTCAAAAAGGAAGTCACACCCATCTGCATGTGCTCTTTACACCACCAGTAACAGACAGATGAAAAAACCCCAAAACATTTCCAACTCAAAACTACTAGAAATTAAATCAGAGGGCAGTATAAACCTCCAGAAGCTTGCACATGACAAGTATGGGAAAAAGTAGAGATGTATCCAAGTCACCCAATATAAACTACATGCTCTGTGTTCGTGTCATGCACAGGAGGAAATTCACACCCTCCTCGCCTCCGTTTGAGGCAGAATTTTACCTGTTAAAGAAGTCAGACCCATACAGGTAGCAGCTACGGCCACACTCAGGACTGCTGCAGCATCCTCTAGTAACACCACATTTGTACTAGGGTCGCGACTCTGCACCACTGCGTATACAACAACAGAAATGACATTGCTTTGGAAAGCTCAGCTTTACTACGTTATGCACAGTACTTACCAAATTATACTAACACCAACAACTTGAGAAAAAATTCCGTAAGTATATAGGTGTAAACTGATTTTCTGCATATGCACACACAATTCTGAAAGCCTTCATAAATACACAGAACCAGCCTGTGACAATTATGAAAGCTTCTCCAGAATGTCTGAAAAGTTTAAAGGGATATTTGTAATGAAAAAATGCAGGTAGTTTAGCGAAAGTATCTAAGTTGAGTCTTAGTCTTCACCTAATTTGTAAAATGTATTTGTTACTAGAATAGAAAACAGATCAACAAAGCAAGGGAAAAGGGAAAACAGATAAAACTGTTCTATCATTATGCAAATACAGCTGAAGGGATTCTGGTTTAAATATAGCCACATACCTTACTGCTATAACGACACGTACCATATTGATAAAATGACAGACCCTTGGCTCGAGCACTCCTGCGAATTTCATTTATAGCAACAAGAAGGGTAGCTGAAACAACACAAAAGTAGTTGCTGAAAATGATTAGAGGCAAAAAGACTTGTTTCCATTTTGAAAAGAAGGAACTTTATATCACAGCAACAGATCACCAAGAAAGCCCTGATTATTGTCACTTTGAATAATGACAAAGCATAAAGTTACCCTCTTTTCTACCTGTGTGCCGCCCCCACAAACCAGAACAGTTATATTCACTGACAGTTTAATACCGAAGAGGCATTCTGTGTATACTTTGCATATGATGTGTTCTGCAAGTTATTATACAGACAGCTAAGAAAAAAAGGTTTTCTACTTTTTTTCTGTTTGTTCACGACACAGGTATTTGCAACAGAGCTCAAAATGTTGCTGCATAAGCAAGGACCAATTATTACTGTAGTTATTGACACTGTACTCTTAGAGATTATGAATATTTAAACAGAAATATTTCTTGAAACTGCGTACCTCCTTCAGACACCAATGACCCTGCTAAAATGCAGTATGCCTGTGGGGGAAAAAAAGTCTCAATTATTATGTAATATGCGTATTTTTAGGGCTATCTTCACCACAGGCTACCCAAACACAGCCTTCCAGACCCCCATTACCCACTGTGCCACATAGCTGTCCCTAAGCAGAAGGCAACCAGCAATATTTGAATTATGCAATATATTGCATAATAGGAAAGGAGGACCTCTTGGGAGGTGTGAAGGGAAGGTGCAGGCTTTAAGGCACAGCTCATTTTGCTACAAGATCAGCTGTAGTTTAACATGATTTTTTTGTTAAGACATTCTCATTAAGGATGGTTTGAGTTAATTGTGTCGGGATTCAAACTGACTCAGGAAGTGAATTTCAGACTGCAATTACTTTCTATTAAGTTGCCAGTGTTAGATACAATACCAAACAAGATTAGCTTACCCAGAGAAGAGATTCTATAGGATGAGGGTGGAGTAAACCTATGATCCCATGATACCAAGAAAGTCCTGCACCCATCATGAAAATGCCCACCCCACTAATCAGGGAGGCAATATAGCGCATGTTTGTGAAACCATACCTAGATAAAAACAAAGAAAGTGATTTAGGAAACAAGATTCTGTATCTCTGAAAACATACCTGCAAGGGTTTTTTCCATTAATTTGTACACGTATTAAATTATCATCATATGACTGGACATCTATTTAAGACAAAGCTGCTAAATCCAACCTAATCCAAATTTTAAAAAAAAGCCACCTGGAAAAGGTTCTCTCACATACACAAAGACAATGACTTTCCCAAACATATGAAGTGTAAAGCAGGTTAACACCAAGAAAATATCATGGACAGTACAGCTCCTAACTTCCAAGAAGTTGTTGTGAAACTTACCAATCCTTCTTACTCAGATGAAAACAAAGAGTATTTTAAGTCAAACATCTCCTTAACATACAAGTAGCTGCCTTGCAGAAAAGCACTTAATTGAAACCAGGAAGAGGACAGGGTTTATTTTGAAAGAAATCTTCTCATTCAAGTAAACAGTGTTCAAAAACAAAGTAGAACTATCTAATGGAAGAGGGAGAAGAGCCCAGAATATCTTAGAGAAATAATGCCAATTAAAATAGTACACATCAAAAATCATATCACACAAAAAATCATTAAATATAAGATGCATCAAGCCACTGAAGCTAGTGCTCCTGCAGTTCAGAAGAAACCCCTTTTCTTATCTATTGTAAAGTTAGAAACAATGCATTTCAGAAATTACACCAAACAGCAGATTAAAAAGAACAAGGTGACACGCAAATGAGAACTGATCTTACTCCTACATATAATTACCAAAATCATTATTTACTCAAAAAGCTTACGGATGACTAGGGTCAGGCGTCCTTGCAGACTGACTGATGCCCAAGGCTAGCAATGCCTAGTTAGGACAAAAGGAAAAAACCTTTGTTAAAAACAAAAAAATTAGAAACATTCCTTATCAACTGAACCTGAAAGATAAAGGCAGATACAATTTGCTGATCTGCACATACGCTTTCTGCATATAGTTCTGGAATATAACCCTCAAAATCTGTTAACTAAATCCACCACTCAAAAAAAACATTGATTATACCTATATAAAAGAGGTACCTTCTATATAGAAAATATATAGGTCATTATATAGTGTGTGTATACATAATTACTGCTAATTATTATTTTAGAATTGCAACTGAAAGTGAACCTTATGTGTCATCACAAGTGTTGTTGCCCTGCTTCAATGTGAAGGAATGAGGTTGTTCAGGGAACAAAAGTATTTAAATAAATCCCTCTTGAAGAGAAATTAGACAGAAACTATGGTGATGGGGTACTACACTTAGAGCAATAATCTTATACTGCTGTTTCTTTCAGTAGTGAACTCCCCAAACTAAAGAAAAAAATTGTTTTGAAGGAAGAAGTAAAAAAACTCTTACTAAATGGCCTATTTGGGATATATTTAATTAGACATGTGTTAAACTACTGATGTAGTAAGTTATAATCTATACCTCAATTTTGCAAAGCATGTGCTTTGTTTTAGGACTATGAATTACTGAAAGGCAATATCAAGTATTAGAATTTGGACAGTTCAGTCTTTGCAGCAGCAAGCTGCTTCGAGGCATCAAGGTTTCTCCTATGTTTTCCCCAAAACAGCATACATGAATATTTGAGCAAAAATAACACGCATTTCCAGTGGAACATATAATGCATTTAAAAATCAGAGTAACTCCTCCACATATTAGTGGTAGACAGTACCACTATCAAACCTGGTTAACCTATAAACTGACGCACTTGGACAAATGAAAATTACACACTTCAAGGCTGCCTCCCCATAAGCTTAAGTATTATCAGTTGAGTTATTCGCAACCCTGTCCTCAGCTGGAACAGGTTGCGTAAAACCATTTACAGAAAAACAGCAAACAAAACGTGAGTCCTCAACTCAGTCTTTCTGGACAGAGAAGCACACTAGGTACAACTGAAGCCAAAATTATTTTTAAATACTTTAAAGATGTTAAGTCTGTTCTGAGGTTCCATACATTTGGAGAGGCGCAAGATTTGCATTTTATGAGTCACAAGCCTTCCAAGGACTGCTCTTGCTTGAGCTGCAGGAGGGTTTCAGCCAAAGCACTTTTTTTGTTTCCAAAGCCTTGCTATATCAAAAAATGCAACCAGAAAGATTCTGTCTACACTGTGAGAAGGGGAGATTTCAAGGTCTCGTAATGTACGTCTCAAGCACAGCAAATTCATTAATTTTGTCCACGCACACTACATGCCCAGTTCTGAGTCTGCCACACTGCCTATCAAAGTACGTGTGCCAGGTATGTGGCTGCTCGTGCTGTGAGAGGTTGCTAAGGCCATCCAGAAATAGACAAAAACCTGAGATGCTCAAATTCTCATTGTTATTCTACCAGAAGATGACTCAGCTACAACATCTGTCATTCTACTACAATACCTGACAGGCAAAGTATTTCAAGTCAACATTTAACCAACGTAAGAGGTACAATTTGTACATCATCTTAGTTTCAAGTCCCACTTAGGATCCATGAAGTAGCAGAGTATAGTTTTGCTTACTACAGCTCCCCTCTTTCAACTCATTTTTAAAACATCTTAAGAATCTACATTCCAACCTGTCTCATTCTTACATTAATACAAATTTTAAAAACACCCAATTTTAATAATAATTTTAAAAAGTTATCTGGATGGCACTCAGACATACTTTAAGATGAGCAATACACCATTCTTATCTGGGAGGGGCAGGGAGCAAGGCGGAAAAGAGTTAGCATATAGCTCAAATTACTGAGATTCTGTTCTGACACCACTTCCTAAGGATAAGGCTGGTCACATTATGCATATGCATTATGACAAAAACAAATTAAGCCTGTTCTGGGACTTACTTCCTAATGTTGGCATATTTGACTAATATTATAACCCATTTAACCTTTTTCTGGTGCACTACCATCCTGATAGGTAAAGTGAACTGCTACTGAAGTGCAGAACAACCAGCTACATGAACACAATAGTTTAGAAAAGAAGTAACTTGGGCAGGCAGTTTGAAATAATGCAGATGTGTTACAAATAGTATTATATTACCATTCCAATAGACTTTATTGATAATTACAGGTGACTCTAGATTCCTTCTACACTAAAGGCTTCTAGACTAGGTCAGTTCTGTTCCTGTTAGTTCATAAACCCTCCAAATTACTAGCATCAATATGCTGCTGAAGAGAGCTGTTGAAGCCACTAGTTTTGGCAAGTAAATTTGCAACAGAGCAACAGCTTCGTACTCCGATTGGGGAACATCAGAAAGCACTCTGGGTTTAGCAATATTTCTGAAGTAATAAGGATTTCTGACAAAATATGGCTTCATCTGCCTGAAGTCTGATAAAAACTCTATACAACAATAACACTACGTTGTAAGTGAGATTGGCTTTTGCCTCCAGGAAGCTAAAAACTATACGTGTATTCTACACGCACACGTACACCCTCCTCTCACTGCACGCACACAGCGCTCGTCACGCTCTGGGCAGGCTTTGTAAACTGAATCACTGAAACCAGAAATTATTTAGTGATAAAGTAAAACACAAAAACACCCCCTCCCAGATGAAACTATTTTTTAAATAAACACTAAGACTGTTTTGCCTCGAAGTTATTTAAATGGTCGTTAAATAGTTTTGCCTCCGTTATTTAATAGTCATTAGATTAAGTAGTAGGGTTTTTTCTCCCAGAATATATTACTATTAATTCTAAGCAGCATGTAAACCATACAGAACAGTAAATACACAACCAACAGAATCTGGAAGTCATATTTAATAAAGAGTTGTGTCTAATAAACTTGGAATTTCTAGCCTACCCTACACACCCACGTTATCTATGAGCAAACTTTGTAAACAAAAAACAAAGTATTCTGCCATGCACTCTAGTCCTCCTACGTAAAGTGCTGTTTTCATTTCTCTGGTGTTTACTATTTAGACAGTATAGTCAAACTAAGGAACACCAGTAAATTGAATTATTGCTTTCTAGTGTCATACAGCTACTATAAGTATCTGTCTATATTCCTGAAAAATTATTATAAGTGCTAATGTAAGGAGAATACTCACCTGGTTGCATGTGTCTGCTAACGAATGTATGGCTTCAGAAAACATACTTGCAGAACCCGTGTAAACCCAAGCAAGTAGCTTAAAGAAAAAATTCAACCCATTTCTGAAAACAAAGAGAAGAAATAAGCTAAAGAACAGAATATTTGGTCTTTTATATCTTCAGCAAAACCACAAGTGCTGTATAATCATGCATGACCTGCCAGCAAGTGGTGAAACCAAGTATCAGTTCAGAGACCTGTACAGGCACATAAGGCATGCACATTTTCTGCGTGGCTACTGTTAAAAAGCCCTTTCGGCTAAACTTCATATGTAAAGATATACAACTTATTTTTCTAAAACTACTGACTTCTAAGCAGTCCCGAGTAAGCTACAATTCCTGAAAACTACCATCACATTCACTGCTCAGAACAACTAATTGCCTACCACTGGGAGAATACAAGCCTCAATGATTTCCTCTTCTCTTTTTTCAATCCTTTGCCTTCTATACATCCCTGCCTAACACTGCAGTGCAAGTTTCCCCACCTCAATCTCTGCCTGGGCAATTCCCAGCAGGATACAAACATAAGAAAGACAACAGACAGGAAGACAAGGCTGTCATTACACTGTAAAAACTTTCCATTAAGATGCCCAGTGTGACTTCTCAGGTCTTTTTTTGAGTTACGAACTGACTGCAGTAAGCGATATCTTATGTTGAACAGAGCAGGAAAACTAATAGCAGTAAAATCCAAGTCTACATTCTCACTTCAGACATTCACTATCGGAATCTGTAGGCCAACTGTTACAATCATATTGCAAAGAAAATCAGACTAGGAGATCATAACATTCTCCTCTATCTTTTTTTAATATACTTGAGTTTAGCATATTGGTAATTTTTGAAAGTATTAAAAGTATCTTGTACATTCCATTTTTGCAAAACCATATGCTAAGAAATTATATTTAAGTTAGAGGAAGCACAAGCCCAGCCCCTTGCAATACACCAGATTACATAGCTGATTAAATAATATTCATTTCCAAGGTCATCCTTAAAGAATGTCTGTTAAAGTAAATCCACTTCTTGAAGCAAGTGGTAGCACTCTTTTCTACAACTCCCTTCCATCCAAGGACCTGAATGTGCTTTATAATTTTTAATTTAGTCTCCTTACCTCTGAGATGGTGAAGCATCACCATAAATTTATAGGTGGGAAGTAAGAAAATGTGTAAGTTAGTGAACAGTCCAAGAAGAAAGGAAGGCTGTTGTAACACTAAACCATAATTTAAACCCCCTGTGTTAATTACAAGTTCTTCCAACTCCCAGCATAGTGCATCTTTAGCACAGAAAGAAAATGGAATAGATTACAGTGGGACACAGACTCTTGATTTTTGTACTGTTCTTCTCAATGGAGCATTAATGGAGTTGACAGCTGAAGGTACAATTCAAGTGTGGGGCCCCAGTCAGTTCAGATGACCCAAGAGGCACTCAGCTAATACTTTATTTCACCCCTACAAATTCCAAATTTGTGGAAGGATTTGACATCCTAGAAATCTGAAAAGAAACCACACTAAGATTTTCAAATGCCAGGCCCAGCAAAATCGACCTGTTAATGATGTACAGTGAGTTGGAGACATAGGACAGAAAGATGAGGAGTGCTACACAGGAAGTAATTACAAAAAAAAATAGCGAGTCTACAGAGCCATGAAGGCTACTGCATGGTTCCTATCTGACTAGATGTTCACATCAGTGTAAGACAACTTAAAAAGTCAGTTTGGGGTGGGGAGGAGGTCAGGTTTTGACTGCAAGTAAATTATGTATTGCTTTAAAAAAAACAAATTCACCACTGCATTTGAATAAACTATTAATAAACTATTTAGTCTGATTGCCTTCAAAAAAAAAAAAAACTTTGCTGCTTTCTGATCAGAGATATAGATGTCGGGGATAGACTATGCATTGAGGAATGTATTTACCTAAATTTTCCCCCATCAAAAATTAATAAACAGATCTATTAACTTCAGTTACACAGACAAAGATATCTTTAGTTTGAATGTGATACTGTTATCATTTCCAGAATAATAAAAATAAATTGGTTTACACTTGCATAAATAAAGAATTTTTTTTTTTTAAACTTACATGCAAATAGCTACCATTACCACCTTCCCTGGTCCCTTGAAAAACATAGCTGCTGCACTGGAGCGTGGCTACATAAAGAAATAACAGATTATTAAAATAAAATAACCAAATCATGACTTTTTGAAGGACCTACCATATAAATTATTAAATAAAAACTTTTTGCCATACAGGGCAATGCAAAGTCCTTTAAGTCTAATTTACTACTGAATGCTCACCCAAACTGCAGTTGGGTCTTTCACATTTACACAGATGGATGGCTATAAAAAGGACAAACAACCAACAAAGCCTCCAGCAGGGGCCACTGCAGCCATAAGGACAGGAGCCAGCTGTGCAAAAAAAAGAAATCATTTTCCATAGCAGAGCACCTGGATCTAGGGAACAGGTCTGCTTAAGCAAAGAGGAAAGGCCAGCAGGGCATAGAGCAAAATGTTGGGTTTTTTTTCCTTAAGAAACGTGTTTCATGTCTTTAGATTAAGAATATATTTACTATATATGTTTATAGGCTATAGATGAAATCACACATACAGCTGCAACTTTGTTAATAAGAAGGCAATTAACAAAAAACACCTTACTGGTGGATTACACTGCCACAGTTTTAAGTGGCATCATAACATTTACCACTGCATTGCAATCAGAGAGGGATCTGTTGTATTACAGGGCAAATAAATCTTCCAACAATACTCTGTTAAGCTTATGCAACCATTTCACAACTTTTTTCCTTCAAAAGATGTCACAGTATATCTCATGGCATTTTTCTAACCAAAACCTTTAAAACATCTCTTACCTTAGTATTTCCAAAGAACTCCTTGTATTCCCTCAACAGCCTTTGGTTTCTAAATAGATCTGCAATACAAAATTGTCATCATGAACACTCACTAATAACCAGCAGTTTCAGGAATTGAAGTCTTGCTTTTTTATGCAGCAGCCAACCTCTAGTAAGAGCTACATGGTCTATCTTTCTTTGTGAAGAACTCCCTTCCTCGTATCAGAAACTAGTATTGTCACATACTCATGCACAATGCCAAATTGCCAAAAAGAGACCTTTAATTTTAAAGTGCATAATTGAAATAAGTACCTTGAAGCAATATTGCCTCTCCTGTGATTTTAACTGACTAGACAGATCACAATCAATTACAAACCACTGATGTGACTGTACCTGTTATTGATAATACCAGCAAGGATGACAGCAATGGTTTTATGCAAAAAGATGATCTGAGGGTGTTTCCCTCGCTTCTGAAGCACAAAGGTAAGCTGAATTCATTTCAGAAGAAAATTAAATGAGTAACAGTATGGTATCAAGATTTAAGTCTCTTCAAAATACTCAATTAAAAAAATCCAAAACCATTGAAGATGTTAATTACAATCTAAAAATTGAAAGCCCTCCGAAAAACAAAGTATGACTGTAGTTCTCAACTGAATGTATATTCTTGCTGTATCACACAGGTGATAACTTGTGAAGACAGTAACAGACCGTACCTGCATAGATAGTAAGCAATGCGTTACTCTTATCACTATGCTATAAAACCTTACCAGTAATTGTTAGTTCCAAATCTGTGTGTTCTCAATGAAATAACACCCCATCTACCGGATTTCTAACAACCATACTTCGTCATTTACATCTGAAGTTATTTGAAAACTCTGTACTCACTTTCTCTGTACTTGATCTCTGCCTCTTTACGTCGTTTTCTTTCTCGAGCAAGAGCCTCTGGACTACCCCAAACTTCAAGAGACCTGCACAGAGTTAAAGGAACTTAGCAATGACTCTATTTATGCAACTTCTTTTCAGTTTGACTACATTACAAACGCCTTTCCTAAAAGCAGAGCATCACATCATTCTTTCTGATAAGAAGCCACACAGACTACTACACAGAGTAAGGAAGAGGGCAAGAGGGGGCTGAGAACAAGCACCTGATCTTTGGACACATGAAACGTATCCTCCAATTTTATATATACCATGTAATTATTACAACAATGAGGATATAAAGATGTGTTCAGATAGAAAATGGAGAACATCATTGCCCTTTCACTTCGAAAAACTTTTAAAAGGTTTTTCTCTGTCTCTCATATCATCTGCTTTAAGTGATTCAAACATTTTCCTTCATAAAAATGCTCTTACTTTGCCTCTACATCCGATCTCAGGTACACGGTGAAAGTCTCAGTGTCATCATGGGGGCTTCGGCGTTTAATTTTCCTTAGCTGGTCTAAATCACTAAGGTAAGTAGACAAACAGTTTAGTGCAAGAAAAACTTCGTATTTTTCTAATTTTACTTTTATGTCTAGGTGATCTTTCACAATTCTTATATTATTAATTTGCAGTAAAAACATGAAGTTGTTTAATTGAGCCAAACAAAACAGATCTGCATCACGAAGCAAGCGATCGCCAGGATGCTATTGAAAATCACCGCGTTTTCCACACCGGAAGCTGAAATCATGCCCTCACACTATGAAATACTACACACGGAAGACAGAGTAATAAAACATCCAGTGAACGATCGGACTGTAACTGATAATATGCACAAGTGCTAAACAAGAGGGTTCATGGCTTAACATCTCTAGATAGAAATGAAGTCACATGACATGAAAAGTTTAAAGATTTAACCTCAAAACCTACATACCCAGCACAAGCTGCAAAAGGTTGGAGATAACAAAACTACTTGGAGGATGAGATAAATTTTCTGTGCTGAGCTACACTTTAGGGCATCTTCATTGAGAGGTATCACAGATTTTTTTTTTTTTTAAATACAACAGAACATTTAATTTTTATCCCAACCAATTATCTAGGTCTCCCTCGCCCCTCCATTTTGTCAATCCAGGAAAACTTTAGCTCATTATTTCTCTGCAGAACAAGACAGTTTCAATGAAAATGTGGCAGAGGACTAAGCATAATTTGTCCCTGGATTTTCACCAAAGACCCAATCTGGTGACATACACTGTGTATCTAAAAACTGGGGAAGAACAATGCCAGCATAAAAAATTACAAAGAAAGCTGCTAAGCCTTGGAGTCACACACGTAACATGCATGAAATCTGACAGACACCTCAACTACAGCATTACTCAGTAAGACCTGCTGGCAAGCATGGCACACAGTAAAAGGCAGTAAACAAACAAACAAATATTAACAATTTCAATTTCAGCTCAAGCCCATCATACCTGGATTTAAGACAAAACTCATTTATTGCTCTGACTCCAGTGATGAAGTTATTCTGTGTGTATTTTGGTCCATACTCTCTTTTTTTAAGGACTGCTTTCACTTAAAAAGAGAAACAGATAAGCAAGTCACTCAGCAGAAACTTCAAAAGGTAATTCAATCTAGCGTCGTATCATGATACCTCTAAGCGGAGGTCTGAAAAAGAATGCTTGTCAGCGAAGATAGAAAACTTACAGTGAAGAGACAGGCACATTCTTCATTGCGGAAATTATTTACCTCCCAAAATGCTACTTGCCCAGCTGTAGTTCAGCGCTCTCAAACATCCCACAGACTTAACTGCCACTGCCAGCTACCTCTCCAACTCTGATGCCAGAGATGGTGCTGGGCGTCTAAGACAGCCCTCAAATATGGTAAGCCCCTGCTCTAGCAACTGAAATGGCAACACCAAGATCCACTTCTTTTTTTTCAATACTTAACCAATTTCACCTTCTGCAGATGACCTTTGTAGACTATACAGAGAACTGAGATAGACTGTACACTCTGTTTTTCCTCAAGTATGACTTGAAATTAGCACACTCAATACTGTGCATTTATAACAAAAATACACATTCTTTATTCATAATATGTATGCCTAGATGTACTCTTCTGACACCAGATTTTCACGAACAAGGAAAAGAATACTACACCTATTCAGAAAAAGGATAAATGGACTTTTAAATTTATGCCAATATTCATTGTTTGTCTATACATACATACGAAAATAAGATGAAATTAAGTCATTGTAACATTCACTTCCATTAAAAACATTATGCACATTAGAAGAGTTACAACTGCTGAAGGATATAACATTAAAGAACACAACTGAAAACAAAAGGCTCAAATTCTGCAGGTGAGAAAACTTACAAACACTCATGAACTTCCTGTGTACCACAGGATTGGTGTGATTTCTATAGTTAGTCCAGAACTACTCCTTAAGTCACAGGACACTTACAGAAAGTATTTAAACTTTATTTAACTGTATTTAAAGACTTGAGAAAAATCTTCACAGGGTTCTAAACTGTCTTATTAGGAAAATATTGGCCGCTGATAAACGGGAGAGGTCACCAACAACACTGAAAAGGCAGAGGTTCCCAACACTTTCTTCACTTCTGTCTTTACCAGCACTGTTGGGCCCAGGCCTTGGGAACACAAATCCAGGTTGATGCAAATACAGGCCCAGCATCAGTGAAGGCAGTTGGTCTATGAACTATGACAGAAGCAAATGGATGGGCCCTGGCAATATCCACCCGAGGGTGTTAAGAGAGCTGGCTGACATCACTGTGAGGCTGCTCTTCATAATCTTTGAGAAGTTGTGGAGATCAGGGGGCATCCCAGAAGACTGGAAGGCAGCTAATGTCACCCCCCCATCTACAAGAAGGGCTTAAAGGAGGATCCAGGAAATTATAGGCTCATCAGTCTTACTTCAATCCCTGGGAAAGTTACAGAGCGAATTCCCCCGGGGGCATCACAAGTGAAATAAAGCACATGACTGGGAAAAGCCAGCACAGATTCACCAAGAGCAAATTATGCTTGACAAACCTGATCGCCCTCTATGACAAAATCATCTGCTTGGTTGATGTGGGGTGAGCAGTGGACATTGTCTACCTGGATTTCTCCAAGGCTTTTGATACAGTATCCCTCAGCCTCATCCTGGAGAAACTGATGCTCTAGACAAGTGATCCATGCGGTGTAGTCAGGGGGGCCGGGGAGGGAGGGAGGGGAGATGAACTGCCTGACAGACTGCACCCAGAGGGTGGTGGTAAACAGCTCCTTTTCAAACTGGCAACCTGTCACAAGTGGGTTCCCCCAGGGATCAGTATTGTGCCCAACACTGTTTAACACCTTCATAAGTGATCTGGGTGATGGGATGTTCCAGTATTTAAAGGGTGGCTACAAAGAAGATGGAGACTCCCCTTCTACACGCGTCGCATGGAAAAGACAAGGGGCAATGGGTACAAGTTACTCCTGAGGAAATTCCAATTGGACACAGGAGGAAAAGTTTTCACAATGAGAACAGTTAGCCATTGGAATAATTTCCCCAAGGAAGTAGTGAATTCCTCAACACCAGGCACTTCAAAAATTCAACTGGACAATGTGCTGGGCCACCTTGTCTAGACTGTGCTTTTGCCAAGAAAGGTTGGACCAGATGATCCTTGAGGATCATCCAACCCATTATTCTATGATTATTTCTGTGCTTTAAAAGCTTAAAGGCAAAATATATTGCTTGACACTCAAAAAATCCACTAACTCTACAGACACCAATACTGATCATAACAATCTGATTTCTGTCATCCAATTGAACTTAAACAATTGTTTTAAGTATTTGAGTAATCACTACTCCTACAATGCTCCTGAGTGAAGGTGACAAAAAATTAGAGATTTCTTAAAAACACATCACCTACTGAGGCTAGAACAGGATGAACATTTTTAAACAAGAATGCTTTCCATCTTTTCTTAATGCAATGGTTTCGGCCCAGCGAGCAACAAAGCACCACGTGGCCACTCCCTCACTCCTTTTTCTGGTAGGATGGGGAGAAGAAAATACAACAAAAGGCTCATGGATAAAGGCAAGGAGAGGGAGGCATCACTCACCAGTTATGGTCACAGGCAAAACAGACTCCACTTGGGAAAAAAGTCAATTTGTTACCAAACAAATCGGAGTAGGATAATGAGAGATAAACCCAAATCTTAAGAACACCTATCCTCCACCCCTCCCTCCTTTCCGAGCTCAGTTTTGCTCCTGATTTCTCTACCTCCTCTCCACCACCAGCATAGGGGAGAGGAAGAATGGGGGCTGTGGTCAGTCCATCACCTACTGTCTCTGCTGCTCCTTCCTTCTCGGGGAGAGGACTCTTCACACTCTGCCTCTGCTCCAGCCTGGATCCCCCCCACAGGATGCAGTCCTTCAGGAGCAGCCTGCTCCAGAGCAGGCTTCCCACCACAAAGTCATGGGGCTTCTTTGGGTGTGGCATGGGGTCCTGCCCAGGCTACAGGTGGGTCTCTGCTCCCCTGTGACCTTCCATGGCTGCAGGGGCAGAGCCTGCGCTCTCACCATGGGCTGCAGGGGAACCTCTACTCCAGCCCACCTCCTCCCCATCCTTTCCTCACTGACCTTGGTGCCCACTTTGTTGTCTCTCTCACATCTCACTCCTCTCTGCTGAAGGTTCCCCAGCAGTTTTTTTTCTACTCTGAAACATGTTACCAGAGAGGCGCTGCCACCTCCACCATGGCCAGAGACAGGTCTGACTTGGAGCCAGGGAAGCTTCTAACAGCTCCTCACAGGAACCAACCCTGCAGCCACACACTCCCCTCCGCTACCAAAACCCCACCACACAAACCCAATGCATTTATTTAAAACAGATATATAGCCAAAGCGTGTTAACCTTAGTAAAAATAACTTAGGGATTTATCAAAAACTTACTAACCCATCCTTCCAAAACACAGGTAAATTTCACTAGAAGAAAATTGTGTAACCAATTCTACTTCGCAGCACATCTCCACAATCCTACCCCTAGTTCAAAATGAAATCGGCGCTACATGTGGAGGGGAAAAAAACCCTCAATTAGGTATTTCCAAGAGAAGGACAAAGACCAATAAAAGATAATGTAAATAAAACACTAAGTAACACAAATTCTTAATATTAGTGATCCTTTAAAAATGTTATTGTCTTATTAACACTTGGATCAGCAAGTTTAAGTCACAACAGTGTCTGAAGACTAGAATTCCACTTTCTAGACATTATAAAAATCTTTAAAATGAAAGTTCTTGTTTGCGTGTCTATAACCTACAGAGGCAAAAACTCTCTTCTCACTGAAAGATACATCTTTTATTATAATTATTTCACAGCCTAATGTCTGCTATTTCCCCTCTATGCTCCCCTGGCATGCACACACTAAATGACAACAGACACAAAGAAACTGACATAAAGGATGTAGACAAAAAGGTACCAAAAATATACAGACACTGATCTCACCTTCTTAATGACAAATATTATGATTTAATGTTTCTTTAAATTTGGGAAAGACTGGAAGGAATTTTGATACAGTTTATAGGCTGCTGAGTCACTTTCACTCCAGAGTTGATTTTTTTTTTTCTGATGGAGTTTAAAGAGAAATGGCAGTATCTATTTTGATAAAGTTCTTTCCATACACAGAAGGCTAGGAGTGATCAAAAGCACAGCAGTTTTTAATAGCATAATTCTCACAATAACATAACAAGCTATTGGAGTGAAGATGGAGTGAAATCAAGTCATGATAAATTAAAAACATGAAAGAATGTTATGCTCTTATTTTATCAATTTGTGTGTTGAAACAACGTAGCTAAAGACAAAATCACGTATTTACTACAGGCACAAATGGGAACATTACAGGACTCAGATTAGATAGTTCAAGTGGTCAAAATATATTTAGAAGCCACACTGATTAGATTACCTCAGCAATAAGAAGGAACAGAGGAAGACTTAGAACATGGAACAGGGGAGGATCAAGTATTCAGCTTAGCCACATTAAGTCCAAGATGGTGAATGGACACGTCTAAATACATGCAAGGAGGGTAGACCATGGTAACAGACAAGAAAACAAATTAGTCTTTTCCTGACCAACTCATCTCCTTAAATGAAACAATTAAGAACAGACACAGAAGAGTGAGTAATCACAACAAATACTGCTATGTTTGATTTTTCATGAGTCATTTTCAAATAACAGGGCACCAGACAAAGCTAACATACAAGTGTGTTTTAAAAGGTTATTCACGTAACTTGTGACACTATTGAAGAGGAACCACAGATTCCTTACACATCTCTTGACCACTAGCAATATACTACTGGTAGTCCTTTACCTTTTACTTGGATTGGCTCTTTAAGGAAAGATTGCTTTTGACCTGCACTGCTTGTATCTTGACCTGTAAAATAAAAATAAAACTCAATGTAAATATGGAAGTCTCTTCTGTTTAGTAAAGAGTTTGGTTGATACACCAAAATAAGAATATATCTTAATATTGCTTTCCATCCTGACAATTATGAAACATTCTTGCTAGATTTCCAACATTTACAACTCTCAAAATAAAAGACAGGAATAGTAAAGAAAAAAAGAGACATTTAATATAGCATTGATCAATAAACCCCTAGCACCTTGCAGAAGAGTACCAGCTCAGAACACACTTCAGAAAGTAACCTGAAATTTTAAAAACATATTTTAACAGTGTACTTACAGTTTGGGGCAAGTTTTATGCAAAACTGTAGATAAGTAAATATAATGAATTCTATATAGTTTATGGCTGCTGAACACCTGAGTCTAATAGAGCTTTCAAGCTGTAATTCAATTTTAAGGAACTGAAGCTTTTTCACAGACAATTAGCTCCCTAAAATATACAACATTTAAACTAAAATCCACTACTCTTGTGTCACAAGCTGGAGCTAGAATGAAAACAAAGTATTTTAGCTGGGTTTGAAATTTGAGGATATGACTCAAAAAAAGCCAATCAAATATACTTTACAGTATTGTTCAGTGAATCTTAGTATTTGGAAAACAATAAATGCCATTAATGTCAGTGAGATTTCTACTTAGCAATCAGAAATACTACTTGAAAATACAAACAAATACTGCAGATTTCTCCCATACACCTTGACATAGCTTTCAGAGCAAAACTTTATAATTCTAACACAAAAAACCAACATATCCACTATTTTGTGCACTAATGCTCTCTAACGCTGGAGGTTTGCCACACATCCAGGCCCATTAACAAAATTAAAACTGACCTTATTGAAAGTGATATATATTTTAAAAGATTTTTCAAGCAGGTTTGTGTTAATGAGACACTCCTAACTTCACATGCTACTCAAATTACTCAGAGGTCAGCTATTCTTGAAGCTTGGACTACATAACTATCTTTTCATCAAGCAATTAGTTACTGCCCTAACAGAAACTGAGGGCTGAGGGTAATAATAATCCAAGTATACTTTCACGGAAAAATAACCCTTACAAATTCATGAAACTGAACTCAATACACAACAAATAAGGCTGGAGCATAAATAGCTAGCATTGCTAAACTAGTCAGCCCTAGCAGTTATTGTTTGACTTGAAACCAAAAGCAAAAAACCCTTTGCTGTTCCTTTATCTTTTTACCTGGTTTAAAACACCAGGCAGATGAGCTATCATTATTCATGATAAAAAAACATCAGCTAAGACTGCTTAGCAAAAAACGAGTAGTAGCCTCTTTTCAGAAACTCTGCATGCAACCATTTCTGCCACTAAAAGAAATACCACCAAAACTATTTAAGAAAACATTATGTCATAAGTTTTCAGAGAGGAAAAAAAAGGCAAAAATACCAAGATTTTATCTATGAACAGAGCCCACATCAGGTCCCCTTTTCAAGTTTACAACCTCAGCCTAGAGACTGGACAAAATCACAATGCATCAGTGAGAAAAAAAAAAAAACCACACACTTCAATTCACGACTGCTGTTTTTCAGACAGCACTTTCAAGATGAATGCATCAATATTTTCAGTATGACATTAACAGAAAAAGCATAGCCCAAGTTTTACTGTAAGAGAAATGGAGGTCCAAAAGAGATCCGTTATTTATTATTTAAGTTACTGGAAAAGTATAGCAATCCTTACAAGGAGTATATTACCACTTCAGAATTCTACCAAAGCATCATGTTTTTTTAAATAAAAAGTAGTAACATGCCCATAAGGCATAAGAACGGTCTATCCACTGAGCTCCAGAAAATGGGCCCTATACCCAGCGTGCATGTAACAATATGCATTCCAAAACAAGCTTCAATGCAACAGTTTGTCTGTGCACAGTATCTCTAGGCTGTAGTTTCATATACACTTGCATACGTCAGGGCTCACTCTCAACAAAAGGGGAGTTTCATGGTGTCTGCCTGGCACAGTCCCACCCAAGGCTTATATCATGGTTTAACCTCGGCCAGCAATAAGGTACCACAAAGCCGCTCACTCACCTCCCCCCTCCTCCAGTGGAGGAGGAGAATCAGAGGAAATTACAAGGAAGCTCATGGACTGAGATAGGAACAATTTAATAATTGAATATAAATTAATATTATAGTGATACTAATAATAGTAACAGTACTACTAATAGCATGTAATACTACTAATTTCAGGTAATGAAAATAAAACAAATTATACAGTTGCTCACCACCCACCAACCAATAGAGCCAGGTCCTGAGCAGTGAGTCAGAGCCACAGTGCCACAGCCCGACAGTGATCACAGCAGAGTCCGAGCAAGCCCCACGAGCAAGAGCAAGACCGGGAAAGCCAACCGACCCACCAATTCACTAATGAATGAGCAAACGAACAATGAACAAACCCGCAAGCTAAGCTATGGCCCCCTGGCCCACCCCCATCTTATATACTGAGCATGAGGTGCTGTGGAATGAAATACTCATTTGGTCAGTTTGGGTCAGCTGTCTGAGCTGTGTCCCCTGCCACTACTGCTTATAGCAAGAAAGTTGGGAACACAGATGCAGTATCAGAAGCTGTAAAAGCCCTTGAATTGGTGCAAGCCCTCCCCAGCACCAACTAAATAACACCTTATCAGAACTTGTCTCAGGGCAAATCCAAAACATAACTTCATACCAGCTACTGTGAAGAAAATTAACTCTGTCCTGACCAAAACCAACACAGCTTACTATGACTCTCCCCCAGCCATTTTTGAGACAGTGACCAGGAGCAGCTTACCGATCCATCCTACCTCTACTCTAGCTCTGTAAAACAAGCAAGCAATTGATTTTTCACAAAACAGGCCTAAATGTCATGAATGCCAGCACAAGAGAGGGAATTATCAGATAGGGGTGGGAGAAGGTGGGACCATCCCTTCTGATGACAGTCAACAATTACATAAACTTAAGGCAATCATGAGGGCAATAGCAATAGACTATTTTCACGCGTCAGATTTTTAACAGCAGTAACTGCACATCAAGAACCCCAAAAATACCAACAACTACAACTGTCTCTACAGTCTTTCACTGTATTCAGGCAAACATTCTGCTGCAAGAATCTCCCCCTCTAGCAACCACCCTCAGTTGAAGACTTTCCAAGAAACATCAACGGTCTTAAGTATTATCCTCTTCTAAAATCCAGTCACAGACTTAAGAAACAATATCTAATTGTTACACTCAGAACAACGTTTAAGAACCACTTTTGTGCTTCCAAACATCAGAAAAGTAATGCTCTTAGCTAGCTATAGTTATTAGCTTTCAAAGACTGCTGCAAGCCTCAGGAATCTACAACTTAAAGAATGAATGCTGCTAGCGTGACAATGAAGAGAAGGAAATTTTCTTTAGTAGATCACTTAGTTTTAGACAAAAGCACGTAGAAAGAGAGCTTTCATTTTAAAAAGCATTTGCCATCTCTTAGGCACTGTAGTTTTCCAAACATGTATCTGTGCAGTGCTAGAGTTAAGCAGAAAAAATAGAAGATGCTACAATGGAGCAAGGACAAGAGAGTTCTGAATTTCACAAGCACCTAACTAGCACAAGCCTGACAATCAAACTGAACAGCAAGGAGGGTCAGGTTATGTCGATTACATCAAGTATTTAATGGGAATGCGACAGTTCTGACAACTGTCAGATTAGGAAGCTCTAGCAGATGAAACAGCTCAATCTTCTTTACCAGTCATCTATAGCCTGACCTGGAGAAGCTACAGTGCTCAGTATTCACACTCACTCAATCTTTATCACTAGTTCATTTCACACAACAAACCTGAAATACTACAAAAAGAATCAAGTAAGCCAGCAAAATAGTGAAAGTAACACGTTCCATTTCTCATCCCTTAAATTACCTAATCCCTTCTGACACCCACATTTTATCATCATCACTTTAAATTTGTTTACTCTAAAAACTTAAATCCTTTGAATAGTGGAATGACAAAGAAATAAATATCAGCATTCCTCCTGGCTTATGCATATGAGATTTATATATAGATGCCCACAAGCAACAAATACTAAGAATTCCTCAACCGTAATACCACACAGTTGAAAAACAAAAGTTATCAATTATTAAATACATGAAGTTTTTACATTTCATGAATCATAGAATGGTTTAGGTTAAAAGGGACCTTAAAGATCATGTAGTCCCACCCCCCCTGCCATGGGCAGGGACACCTTCCACTAGACCAGGTTGCCCAAAGCTCTATCAAACATGGCCTTGAAGACATCCAGGGATGGGGGATCCACAGGTTCTCTGGGCAACCTGTTCCAGTGCCTCACCACCCTCCCCATGAAGAATTTCCTCCTGATATCTAATCTAACCTTCCCCTCTTTCAGCTTAAAGCCATTACCCCCCTTCCTGTCAGTACAGACCCTTGTAAAAAGTCCCCCCCAGCTTCCTTGTAGCCCCTTCAGGTACTGGAAGGATGCAATAAGGTCTCCCTGGAGCCTTCTCCAGGCTGAACAAGCCCAACTCTCTCAGCCTGTCCCCATAGCAGAGGGGCTCCAGCCCTCTGAGCATCTTTGTGGCCTCCTCTGGACTCACTCCAACAGGTCGCTATCCGTCTTACATTTATATGAATACTCTTTATTTTAGCTTAGTACTACCTGTTCCAACTTTATGCAGGGTTTCTTCAGGGGTTGATCTGCTTGCATCTTCTGATCCAAGACCTTTTTTCTGCCCATTGGACGTATAAACCCTCACTTGACTCATCAACTGCACAGGCAGACGATTGCATGGTAGAACATAAGACAGACTCCCACTTTTCACTGAAGCATGCCAGCCTAGCAGGGGGAGGGAAAAAAAAAAAGTTTCAGGCAATGATTTTGGAAGCAAAAAGAAGTCACAGTAGTCCAGCCCTATCATCAAATTTCTGGGAAGTTAACTTTTATGTACTGATCTGTGCTTATTCTACCCCTGCTTTGGAATTACAAAATGGGAGTAACACAGTATGCTTTCACTGCCTCCTGTCAGACATCCACTTTTAAACTTCATTCTAACATTAGGGTTTTTTCCCCATACAATCCAGTAGGCACTTTTTCCAAAGACCCCTAGATGATCTTAAGGGGGTAACAAAAAAGATACAAAGCTATCCGATAAGATTGGCTTACTGATGCATTAAGTCCCGTTCTAGTGATACTCCCTCAATCTCTGAAAAACAAGTATTGATAAAAGAACAAATACAGACCACTACAAAACTATCAGCCAGTGTTTCCATTTCATCTCGCTCTGTGTACACTCTGTAAAAACCACAACTTAATGATGAAGAAAAACTGAACTGTGTGCATTACACATTGAGAACTTGCTACAGAAATCACACAGAAAAGCACAGAACAACATATAAAACATTTTATACAGAAGAAACTTAATTTTTGCAACATTTTAAGCAGACAAATGACAACATAAATATGTAAAAAACCTACTGAGAAACCACCCTGGGTAGGAAGTCTTCAATTCCAAAAGATTAGCCAAAAGTAGATTTGTATGCAGTACAGGCCAATCTGTATCAGCAACCATTTTCATTTAGGCAGCACAAACACTTCTGTAGAGATGGTATGTAACTCCCCCAACCAGAAATGCAACAGGCAAACTGGCTGCTTTGGAAAGCACTCATTAAGAGAATAAATAAATTAAAAAAGCCACACACTAGTGCTGGTAAATCCAGTCATACAAAGTATGACTAATCATATATGATGCACCTCACACATATAATCATATGATGCAGCTCTCACAAAATGACGTTTTATAAAACTGTTTGTCCCACAAAAGTCTCAACAACTTTCCTCTGCAGTACCAAAGCACGTGCATGCACCAATCTGAACCTTACAGAAGGACCATTTCACCCAAAAAAAGTCTGACAGGCTCTTGGACTGACTCTTCGTTGATGCTGATGTGACAAAAGCCCTGAAAAATCAACCCAACACAGCTCAGCAAACTTACCCATCCCGACTCAGCACAACAAATAGGCGGCTCAAGACAAAGGGTGTTGTTTCCTAAGCTTTAGTGATACTGGAGCAGTTGAAAAAGGGAAATTTGATCAGCACGCTTATGGGACATTTTTCCTACCAATCCATACAACCACAACATGTCGCTAAAGGATATTTACTGCAATTCAACTGCAAATGATTACCTGAACAGGTACAAAAGTGGTCAGAAATTTCACGGGACCCGTGGTCTAAAAGAAAAGCCAGGGCTCGCTCCTCAGACCAACACAAATCCTGCAAGACCAAGCTTCATTTTCTAGAGTTGCTGCCCACTTCAAGGCCAACACAGGCATGACGTACCAGCTTGACGTCAGGCGGAGGCTGACAGGGCAGCAGGCCTACCCCGGGGGAGAGAGCACCCGCGGGAAGGTGTCACGCTCGCCAGGATACGCCTCGATAGGCGCTTACGACTCCAACACCGGCTCGCCCGGGGCTGCCCGGCGGCTCCCGGCCCGG